TGAGCCGGTGAGATTTGAACAGCCGAACTGCTGAACTGCAGTCAGCTGAAGTAGCCTGCAGTGCTGCATTTAACCACTGCGCCACCTTGGCTCTCCCTGCCTAAAGCACTTCCTCATAACATGTGTTATGAGGGATGTTGCATTAATATGTTAAAGTTATAGCTCAATAAAAAGTTTTAAACCATAACAAAGGTCTGGAGTGGATGGCACGAGTCGGATAGAGTTCTTCGCCGATAACTGGGCAGTGCCTGGTGGACCAGGGGCATATCCCAAGAGCTTATCTGACTCAGTCCAATCAATGAGAGCATAAGGTCAACCCATCCTAGATACTCCTCTCCCACTATGAGAAGAGGTGTATCAGGTGAGTACCAACCCCCTTTTTCAGTTTTGCCATACCCCAAGAGGTTTCACAAAGCACGTAGCTCTAATGAAGGATTATCTCTATCTTTAGATAATAGTGGACAACCGTTTTGTGTGTGTATAGGAGGGTATTTACACTCTGGTTTTTTTTGGATAGCACAACACGTCCAGTGGGGAATACTCAGAAGAATACTTATGAGTTTCATGTTGGAATTAAATATTTTATTTTGGATGAATGGAAGAGAAAATATAAAATGAATTAATGAGATTCTCAGATAAAGTATAGACAGATGCACAAGAAAGAGACTTTCTGAATTACGTGTGGTATTAAAGCATGTCAGAGATAATGTGGTCTATTTTTATAAATATTCCAATAAATAATACTGTATTGAAAAGTTGACTTTAAAATTTTTAGTACACTGTCAAATATTCAATGCTATCATAGTTTTAAGCCTTCTTTCTTGGCTTTCTTGGAGAATTTCAATGGCCATGCTGAAGTTACTACTTACAAATACTCCTTGACCTAGGATCATAATTGAGCCTGGAATTTTGATTGTAAGTTATTGTAATAATTAAACGAGACACCCACATGGCCTCCTAGCTCAATGACTACAGTCCCAGGTCTCTCACTTGTGATTGTTAAGCAATTATGCAGGTTAGGCAAAATTGCTGCCTACGAAGGTTCAGGAAGCTTTCTTCTATGGGCAGAAGGAAATTGCAACTTTGGGCTAGAAAACAGAAGCTTGGATCTTTGTGATCTGAACTTATTTTTCTCCAGTCCAGTACTGGAGTTTTCTTCCCCTCTGTGCACAGAATGGCTGTGTGAGGGTCGATGAGGGGCAAAATCAATCTGACAGGCAGTCCTTCCATTTTGAAAGACAACTGGCAGGAAAAGTCCATGCCAAGTGAGATTTTGGCACTGTGGATTTGTTGCAAGAAGCATTTGTTGCCAGCCTGGCTCCAAATGTCCCTTGCTGCAAGCACCTCATGCCACACTTTTTGACAGTAACATGGCTGCTGGCCAGAGGGATTCCATCTCATGTGAGGTTAAACCAGTCTGGAGGCAGACAATCTTCCACTCCCAGAAAAGCTGCTGAAAACTGTTTGTCCCAAAATGGATGCTAGTGGACCTTTTTTCAGTTAGCCCACTTCCCTCCCAGAGCCAGAAGAGATTCTGATAAGCAAATGGCAGTGGCTTGTGCCCTTCCCTCATTGACTTTCTTATGGAAGCGGCTGGCAGGGAAGATTTCAAATGTGATCCTATGATCACAGAGTGCTTAGAAACCCATTGTAAGTGTGAAAGTTTGCCAAGAGCCCAGATCTCTCTCACCTAACTGCAGGGACACTGCAATGACTGCAAACTTTAAGCATGGGTCATAAGTTTCTTTTTTCAACATCATAATTTTAAACCGATGTTGACTGAATGGTCGTTAAGCAAGAATTACAACAATTCAACAATACATGTATCCAATCATGACCATGGAACCTTTCTTAGTAAACCCTAGCACCTCATTGATTTGGAAGGGAACTTTTCACCTTTCTGCCCTCGGTTAGGAACCCAAAACTCTAGGAGGTAGGCTGTCCACTGTTTAGTAGTCCTCATAGTCTGGAAATTATTTCTTATTTTGAGTTTGGATTTTCCTTTATGTCACTTTCCCATTGGTTCTTTCTGCCCTTCGATGTTATCTAGAATAAATACACACACTTTGGGGGGAGAGCTATTCAAGTACTGACTGCTATCTTGTCTCCCCTTAATTATTTCTTTTGTAGTCTAAATGCCCCCCTTATCATTTTTATCAGATGGTAGAGGACTTACATGAAGAACTTGGGGAGGTGGGGTAAAAATGCAGTTTTGCTATATTTTCTGTATTTCTTGGTAGGTCTTTTTTATTATTATTAACTGTAATATCCTTTTCGAAAGCTTGTTGAAATAGGATGGGGAGGGCAATGTTTTTACAGTTGTTTGTATCGCATCCAGAAAACAGTGGGGACTGTTTTTTGATACCTGATGTCTCGGCACATAGGACCCCTGTGAAGATACAACTATTTTATTGAGCTTTTAACTCTTATGATTTTAGTATTTGTTTATCTTTAATTTTAATTTGTATTGATAACTTTCATTCTGTTTTTCTTAATTTTTCTAGTTTGTCTTGACTGCTTACTCAAGCATTAAGGCAAGCTATAAATCAAGTAAGGTAGCTATAAAAGTAATTATTGTACTCCTCAATGCTTTTATTTTTTGATTGTTGCTGTTATTATTATGTGTGTGTCTATTTGTGTGTATTTCTTTTAGCAGAAATATTAGATTTGATGGCCAACTTGCACAAGTGGTTTACTGCACAGTCACTACTGTAGTTGTTCCATGAAAAGTTGCTCTATTTTAATGCTACATTCATTTGTTTATTTAGATGCTGCCCAGACAATAACTAACTAACTTCAGATTGACTCTTGGCAGCTCACAGTAAAAGATAATGTAAAAACAACAATATACATAAAAGAGTAAACAGATGTGAATGATAATTGTTAATGAGCAACATGCTAATTCATAGTTCAACCAGCACCTGGATGACATCTGCTACAGGAATACCTAAAACAAATAGCAAATACATGCTCCACTTTGCTAAGCATTATATTCAATTCTGATTTGCATAGACCACAAACTATAGACAAAGCCTTTCACTTTTCTTATAGATGTTTCTGATTTCTGGAGGAACCCATTAGAAATTCTGGATCCAAATGCACATATTTAAAAACTATTAAATTAATGGAAGTGTCAGTGCTTTAAAGGATGAGATCTTTTTTTCATTAAAATAACCCACTACAGTCCTAAATTTATTTCAACTTATTGTCTCCGGTAATAATTTTACTTCCTTATTAATACACATATAAATGAAAAGACAGGTTGGAAGAAGCAGTCAAGTGAATATCACTCCACTCAAGAATATTCATATTTGTTTTTTGTTACTAAGATGTCTGTCTTCTAGCTGTAAAAAAGGGCATTGAAAGAATCAAATATCTTCAGTGAAAATATAATTTTTTAATATTTGTTTTTAAATAAAGCTAACATTTTTATTTTTATCAGGGAGGCAATAATGCTGGACATACAGTTGTTGTAGATTCTGTGGAATATGATTTTCATCTGTTACCCAGTGGTATCATCAATCCAAAAGTCACAGCATTTATTGGTAAGTGATTTTTTTTACTACTGTACAAACATACCATTCTTGAAGTTTCCTCAGTGTTTATGAAAATTTTGAAATACATTGTTCAGTAACTACAGTGAGGAAATACATGAGGACATATCTCACTTTCTGCAATATTTATCCAAATAAAGAAGGAAATACACTTTTCTAGACACCACCCATGTTAGTGGTATCTATGGAAATGATTTGTTTATTTTTGTTTATTCGCAGGACCACACTATTTGTAGTTCTACTTCTGATGTGTAGCTTAATTTATAACAAGATGCGAAAAGTTAATACATCATTGAAACAATGCTAGGAAACCTCTCAAGTTAAGAGAGGAAAAAACAAAAAGTATCTTTATTGTATTTGGATATTGCTGTTGTTTTTAATTCCCTGGGTGAGTCTAATGCTAGTTTTGGGAGGAGGCTTTGTTAGACAAAACAATTTTATTATGCAATAAGTTGCTGATGGTAAGATTCCCCCCCTCCCCCCAAAAAATGCTCTTATAGGAAGAGCAAGCAAAAGCTAATAAAAGGAATTGCAGAGCTCTTGCTGTGTGCCACAGGGTGATCCATTTTGACATCAGAATTCAGGGTTGAATGAGTTACCATCTGTCTTCCCTAGCAAATGTAACTGAAATGCATAATGGAAAACAGGAGTGTATTTTTTCCTCTTCTGAGTCATTCCTATTTCCCTACATGAATATATTTTTCTATCTGCTTTATACATGAAAAATCAAGTTTTTATTGGTTAAAATGCACAAATAACAGGTCACCTATGTCTAAGTAAGTTCCCTATATCTGTTGGAACATTTACAAGTAAAAATCACGATACCCACTCATGCAAGTCTGACAGTAGGGCAGGCAGAAGCCAAATACGTTCTTCAAATAGTAGATGTATTCAGCAGCACTATGTTATAGAGGAGCCCACCCTAACTTTACATTCCTTTAGCTGTCTTGGACTGCAGCTCACCTTATCCTCAACCATCACAATAGAAGTTGCAGTCTGAAGAATCCGTAGGGACAACTTTCAGGAATACCTGCAAACATAGCTCCTCTTTTTGAAACATAACAGCAATTACACCACAGAGATTTAAGAAAATATGTCTTGCTTAAAATTCCCATAATGGCATCTATAAGAACCAATGCACCCATCTACCGCTGTCCTATACAATGAGAAGCTGGCACAGTATAAAGCAAAGAGTTACACTATTCGTTTTATTTGGAGAAAATATATTTTGACTTTACAGAGATACTTTAGACATTCTTAGAAATTTAAAATGCCAGTGGAATGTTCTGGCTTGTCTAATAGGAAGACAAAGTTAAGTTGGTGCTTATAATTGTGGGGAATGAAAACAGGTGGGAATTTTTGCCTTTTACACAGTGGTTGCTACGGATCATATGAACCATGTAATAAATGATATGCCCTTATGTGGCAGCAATTTTGTGAGAGCAGTCACAAAATTGGGGAGGGGGGCAAAATCAGGCACAAAGCATTGTGGGACACTATGGAATACCTAAAAGTAATATTATATTATTTATCCCCAACATATGGGAAGGCTATTTTAGATTCATTTCTATTTATCTGTTGTTGTTTTGGGGAAGAAAGAAGTTTTCAATGCAGGGTTTTTTCTTTCTTTCAAAATTACCATTAATGTGGTAGTTTAAAATGTTGATGGCAATAACCTGCAAAAAAAAAAAGTATACATACCATTGAAGTAATTCCAGGTTAAATTGTAAGCTCTGATACAAGTAATAAGTAGAGGTTAGTTCATATTAACCAGCTATAGTGTAAAAGTAAGATCTTCAAACTCTTTGGTCTGTATCCAGTGGCTGGTTTATGCTGTTTGAGACTGCTTACTCTTAGGTCTCCACATTTGTGTTAATTTCTCTATTGAATGAATAACCACCCTACCATACCTGTATTATCCCAGAAGTTCTGGAGCTTCAGTGGAGGAGCAATTGGGAGAGAGGGTGGTTTAGTGGTTTAGTGGTTTATTAGCATTTGTAGGCCGCCCTTTTCCCTGAGGGGACTCAGGGCGGCTCACAGAAA